CTTTCTCTGGCAAGCACACATGCCCTATAGCAAATTAAAAATAAATAAATAAAGATTACCATTTATGGAATGGTTACTTACTGAGTACAATACTATTGTTTACATAATTCTATTTTATCCTTACAACTGTTTTTCAGATAGACAATACTCCTGATTTAAGGGATGGGGACATTGAAATTCTAACAATGGTTTGTTATGATGTCAACTTAAATGAGCTGCTTAGTCTCAATTACTAAATGGCAGGCAGGACTGGAAATTGTCTCTTATTCAGATTGACGGCCCTTTAAAAATGTGAAGACTGTGTTTCCCCTTGTAGTTAACTTTTCTGGGATCAACATATGAAGTTCCTAAGTGTCTTTTGTAGGTGAGTTTCTGGGTTACCCTAGTCATCTTTGCATGAATAATTTTCACTTTGATCAAGTAAATTTTAAAATGTATTATCCATTCTATTCTAGATAGAAGATTACTAGCAAAAAATCCATAGGGTATGAGTATCACCTTCAAGAAGGAAAGCCAAATGGAATAAAAGCATATTAATTGTGTGTATTTGTATATCCAGTACCACGTTACATTTATCACATTAACATGACACACATGCCAGGCTACTTTTCCAGAGTAATCCTGCATTTCACTTGAAAGCATCTGGTGACTTTCCATCTCACCCAGAGAAAAGCCTAAACCTTTACAAATGCCTATTAGGCCTGTATGCTCTGGCATTCCGTTTCTTCTGTTCCTCATTTCCTGTCTCTTTCCTCCTATTCCTACACAACAGTTTTCTAGTTGTTTCTTGAGTATCCCAAACATCCTCCTGTCTTAGGGTCTTTGTATTTTTTTCTTCCTTTGCCTAAAATGCTCTGCCTCCCAAATAACTGGTTGGACACTCTCCTATTTCTTTTAGACCAAATGTCACTTTCTTAGTGGCCTATCCTGACTGCATTATTTGTTAAATAGCACTCCTAACTTCTCAGTAATTCCTGCATTCTTTCCTTGCTTTGCTTTTCTTCATAATGCTCACCCCGTCTAACTTATAACATACATCAATTGATTGACCGATATCTTTAATCTTTTCTCCAAAACTCAAGCTCCACAAAGACAAGACTTTTCTTTTTTTGGAGATGTTTTTGCTATAGGGTGCATGCGCTAGTCAGAAAGCCAGAGAGAGACAGAGAGACAGAAAGCGAGGAATCACTCCCCAGTCCCTTCTCCTCCATTCTCCTCTTGGGATCTTGGGCACACACATACACACAGCTGGCTGAGTTTAAGCCACTGAGTCCAGGACTTGAACCGCAGTCGACTACGTGGGAGTCTAGCGACATAGCCATTACACCAACTGCTGATCCCAAGACAGGACTTTTCTAATAGTAAGTGCTCAATAAGTATTAATGAACAAAATGAGAACAAAAAGGTGTGACCTGATTAGGGAGAATTCTAACCTAAGACATGATAGAGAAACATCCCATCAAAATATGAGATTAGCAAACTATAAAGTTATCTATACATAAAATATTTTGACAGTATAGCAATATTAGCATTAACAATTAATTATAACATTTATTAATATTAGTAGTAATGATTAACTTCAAATTTAATAATGAAAGTGATACTGAAAGTTTCTGAAAGAGACTTATTAGCTAGAAAGGATGATTAAAGAAAGGAATGTAATTAATATTAATAACTACATAACTATTTTAAGGATTCTGGGTATACTGTGCTAAGAGTAGACTCTAGAGTCAAATTGTTGCTTTCTAGCTGTATAAACTAGGGTAAGTGATCTAACCACTTTGTGTATCATTTTCTTCATGAGTAAAAATGGGTAGTATCACAGTAACTACCATCATAGTGTTGACGTCATAATTAATAAGATACACTCAAACACTTGTACTGAATGCTAACTATTATTAGCGCAGTATCTGGCACAGATTCTCAATAAATATTAGCTATTATTATCACCAAATTATAAACTTTCAGTAGTTTATTTTGAAAGTCACTAAACCAGGGGTATAACTGGTGAGGGCTGCAACATACATAAATCAAGTATTAGAAAGTGATTTCCACGTAAGCATCAAGCACCATCAAACTCATTTATTCCAGTGTTAAATAATATACTTTATCTTCTGATTCTATAACATTGTATTTGAGCTTTTTATAAATCACATATAGCATACAAATGGACTATTTAGCTTTATAACTTTAACTGGTATCATAGTTCTCAATCTTGTATCCTTCTCTAAGATATCTAAGAAAGTTGCACATTCCCAGTAGGAAGAGTGGCTCAGTAGAGCAGTGAATCACAAGTAAGGGGGGGAAACGCGGCGGGATCAGTTATTGAGTTGAGAATTACTTGCTCACATAATGAAAAAATATTGAAAAAAAGAGCTGTGGTTCAAAGGCAAGAAATGAAGTTAGATTTACAGAAAAATAGCAAGTATATGTTACACTTCTATTTTGTCAATTGACATCCAAAAAGGTACTTAGAAAGCTCTTACTAGTGTGTTTTCTCCATTGGAACTATTCCAGAGCCTCATCCGATGATCTGTGCCAACCGTGAGGAGGTGCAGTCCATCACTCGTGAAGCACAAGCCATTAACTTTCCCATTATGAGCAGTGCTTGCTACAACAAAAACAGTCCAGTTTGTTCTCCGTACATATTTAATGCTTGATGACATAATTATTTGAACAAATTAAAGGACAACTACTTGAGTTACTTAAAAAATACAAGTTGGGTATATTTAAAAATTAACCAACTCTTCAGATTATTTGACTATACGCTGTAAAAATAGAGGAAAATACAAAAACCAAAGGGAAATTGCTAAGTGAAGTAAGTTAGCTTAACACTAAAATTCTAAAATTAAGTGTTTTATCCCTCTTATATAATATTTGTATCTCTTCATCTAAAACTCATTTCATGAACTATTAATAACAATACTAGTATTTCCCATTAAAAAACAAACCAAACAAAAAAATCTTAACAGGGCAAGGATAACTGTTCTAATCTCAATCAAAATTAGCTCACTTTCAAAATGAGTGAGTCTGAGAATGTATAATTCTTAACAGCTTTATTAATTCAAAAAAGATTATTAAAACAGTCATAGAATTTTTTTTTTTTTTTGGAGAGGTTTTCGCTATAGGGCGCGTGAGCTCGCCAGACAGAGACATAGAGACAGAAAGCGAGAGGTCACCTCCCAGGGGGGATGGTCACGCCGCAACGCCTTCTCCTCCATTCTCCTCTCGGGATCTTGGGCATGCATGCACACGTGCCCGGCGTGAGTTTTGGGCCACCCAGTTCAGGACGCGAACCACAGTCGACTACCTGGGAGTCATAGCCATTATGCTAACTGCTGGTTCCCATCAGTCATAGGATTTCTATAGTTTATCCTAATAATAAATTTTCAGGTCTAGAATTAATTCTGAATCACAATTTCTGTAAAGAAGTTGAATTTTATTGTGAAATAAAATTGAGGAACATCAGACCATGGATTGCAATTGACTCACATTGAACATGACTTTATACTGATATAACAATGTGTTACTACTTCTGTAATTATTGTGCCTTCCTAACTGACATTGAATTTGTGCAGTTGGCTCCACTGCATGAAAAAAATGAGTAAAGTAGGTATCCAGAAGAGTTTCTACTTTTAAAAGTCTGAGGGCAGGGG